AGGAGTTCAGCTGCTCTTAGGATTTGCAAAACCCTGTGTGATCCTGCAGCCATCCCTGGTGTTACTGTCCTGGTTTTCCCACCTGCGTGGAGCTGGGCTGCCCTCTGTCCCCATGGATGTGACTGTGCCTGGGATTGCAAATGACAGTTACCGCCTTAAATCTGTACATTAAAATTTAGGTTCTATTAGAATAATGTGGACTTTCCTCCCCTTGCTGAGGTGTCCCCGGGGTCACTTTTCTCTAAGACAGTTTAGAGGCAAATTCCCCATATTGAGGATTTGACCGAGTGTCACTGCAGCCTCCCATCTTCCCATTTGCTCCACGCACGTGCAGGCTGCCAGCTTGCCAATTTTGGGCACAAGTGGTTTGTAATTACCAGCTCAGTGCTGCTGCTGCTGCTGTTGCACTGTTAATTCTTAAACCATTTAATGTATCAAATTATTCCTTCCTGCGCTATTTAGAGGCGAAGGACTAAGTAACAGTGATGGCATTAATATTAAATTCTCTAAAACTAATAGGAACCTCTTATTTAATTGTTCTGGCACTCAGCACATCTGGGGAATACGGTGCCACTGGAAAGCTAACAGAGACAGAGGTCTCATGGTGTATTAGTGCTGGGATGCTGCTACATTCCTAGTTGGGTTATTTACGAGTTAAGACTATCCTAACTGTCTATGTGTGCCTTAGAGGCTTAGTTTGATTAAACCCCTTTGTATTGCTAATGCTAATGGAGCTGGATTGATGCTGGGGATCTGCTGGGAGAGCTTAGCAAAAGGCTTATCATAGACATGACTCTGCTGGTTTCACAGTTTCTGGGCCCTGTGGGAGGTGTCTGCAGTGGGCAGGATCTCCCAGCCCCTGGCAGGGTGCTGGGGTGACCTGGGCACCCATCCCTGCTGCCTGCAGGACCGTCACCCCTCCCTAGTCTGTGCCACACCTCCCACATGAGGTGTCCTACAAGCTCTGCTGGCCATGTCATGCCCACTCCGAGGGTCTGGCTGAGTGTTCAGGGGTAGTTTTTCTAGCTGGGCACTGTTCTGTGACTGTGTTGGTTGAAATGGGGGCTCTGGGGGCTGGCAGGGGTTGCCCTTGCCGGGACTGGGCTCTGGCTGCCAGCGGGAGAAGGCTGCACGTAGCTGTGAGACCATGATAAACTCAAACAGCCCCTCTGTGCTTCTGCAGCGTAGGTGGACTAATGAACCAGGAAAACTGCTGAATGTGACAGAAAGCCCTAAATCTCAAAGCAGAGGAAGACCTGCTCCTTCCTCAGGAAAGCCTGGCTGCCGTGCTGGATGCTGATACTGCTGCAGGCATGCAGGGCTGCTGTGAGCCACCCGGCCCCTCTTCCTGACCCCAGCCCCAGTGACTGTCCCTCCCAGCATGGGGCTCGGGATACCCCGCCATCCCCCCTGCCGGGGGCTGCTGGAGGAAGGTCCTTTCCGCAGGCGGCGGAAGAGTGTCAGGGTCAGGAGCGACATATGTCAGGACTGTCCCCTTCCTGTGTCTGTAGCCAGCATGGATCACACTCAGTCCTCTTCCAAATCAATTCCCAAGCTGCAAATTACTCTGTTGCCTCTTCTAGTACATAGCATCACGACAAAACTAATTTTCCATGAGAGAGTCAGCTGTTTCTTGATTAGAAGTGCTCCGAAAATACTAACAGAGAAATGATTACAGGAAGATGTCAGCACTCATCTATATAATTGGACTTTACCTCCCAGGCTGAAGTTGTTGCATCCACTCCTGGCTTGGGGTGAGCACTTACCCTCCCTGTTGCTTGTGAGCAGGGGGTTTGGGGTGCAGCATTCTGAGTGGTCCACAGCCCTGAGGTGCAGCCGTGTGCCTCTGCTCTAGTTGCTGACAAGCTGTGGTGGTTTCCATGTGTTTAAATCACAGTGGAGCTGACTTGTCCTTTAATGAATCAACAAGAATAATCTCAAGGCAGTCATTTGGGCAAATGGGTTCTTAAATTTTGCTCGTTTTCTGTGTGGGCAGTGAGGGTCTGCTGAAAATTGATAGTAAAAGGGCCATCTCACCTCTCCCATCACACTCCTTGTCCCGTGGCTGTAGCCGGGCTGTTACTGCTCCGTGTACGTGCTCTGAAGTGCTGTGTGCTCAAAGGGAAGAAAGGCAGAAGGCCAGTGTAATTTTCGAGATCATCCTGTGTGATTAGATTAGCAGTATCTCACAACACAGGGAATTGCTTTCTGGCTGAGCCACAGTCCAGGCCCAGTGCATTGCAAGCCTGGGTGTGTAGTGGCTGATGCTCAGGGGTGATTGGCATCTCCATCCCTGCTGGTGGGTACAAGGGCCCAGGGCTCTCTAGGGTCAGCCAGGTCAGCCTTAGTAAATTTAAAATATGGCCAATTTGCTCATTAGAAGTGCAGTAAATGGAGGAGGGGTGAGATTTGAGCTTGGTACAGGAATTCCCAAATATTGGTGCAGACCCAGCTCTGGACATGGCAGCCCCATGGAGCTGATCTAAACACCGTGTGCACACGGGGAGTGAAATGTTTGCAATAATGTGTTTTAAATCCGATTTTCTGACCTGAATGAATTGCATGTTCTGGATAAACGTGGTGTTTGTGAAGCTTATCTTGTGCAGCCGATTTGTTTCAGGGGTAGGAGAAGGAGCTCTGGCTGGGGTTGCTGTGGTTATGGGGGGCTCTTGGGTTTGTGGCATGTTGATGGCACAGCTCATACCTGGCCAGGTTATCTCCTTAATCATCTGCTTAAAGGGGTTAATACGTGAAAAGGCAACTGCTGCCTGACACAAAGCCGGTGTTGTTCATGCCCGTGCTCCCCTGGGATGGTGGCTGCTGTGACAGTCTGCTCAGGATTCCTGCTGCAGCTCGGAGCAGCCCGACCCAGCGAGCCGTGTCATGTGGCCGTGGCGAGGCCCTGCTCCGTCTGCCCGGCGTGGAGGGGAACAAACGGCGCTTTCACTGCGCCCGACAAACCTCCCTCTTCCTCAAATTAACCAGGGATTGGATGCCGATTTGTCTCTCCTGTTCTTTCATGCTTCACCAAACCTGGTCCTGCTCTCCCCGGCAAGTCGAAGCATAATGAAGTAAAAAGTGAAATTACTTGATCAGCATCAGCGAATTGTGCCTTGCCTCTGCACGAGCCAGAAGGGGCAGGATTGCTGCCCCCCTTCCCTCAGCAGCAACCTGGGCCTGGTAAACATCTCACTTGAGTGGCTTCAGCCACCCTTTGCTCTGTGCAAAGGAGAGAAGCCGTGCCTGGATCTTGACTAGCACCCTGGTTTTTGGGCTGCTGGTGCTGGGAAGTGATGTGGTTTCGTGATGAGCTCCAAGCTGGAGATGAGTGTGAGCTTGTGAAGGTTTTGGGACTGGATGTAAGGCTTTGCATGGGGAATTTCAGCTATGTTTGTTTCTGGCCTGTGGTGCCACATCAAAATGCCAGCTTTTCCTTGAGCCTTGTCACTGGGCATCTGCTGAAGCAAATTCCCTGTTGTTCTGAGCAGGAGCAGCACTCTATACCTCTTGCTGTCATTGAAACAGGGGTATCTGGCCAAGGAACTGCACCAGAGCACAAGTTTACGTCATAGCTAGCTGTCACCAGCTGACCCAGCGTTCACTCTGGGTTGCAGAGCTGCCCCCAGAATGGGTGAGTGAGTAGAGAAGTAGACAGGCTGGGCACGGGCAGCAGCTGGGCATGGCATGGGGCTCTGTCCCCCTTTCAAGTACTTACTTTACTGTGCAAAACCAAAATACAGTTGGGATTGGGAAGTACATCTGGGCACCCTTTCTGGAGCTGCCAGATGGGTGCAGAAGGGGAGAGCAGATCCAGCAGTGTGAGTCCCCCCGGGCGGGGTGGGGACCCTCACTCTCCGGTGGCGGTGCTGCCTCCTGCGGTGCCATATCTAATCTGTGCTCCTGGGGACTCCAGCCGTGACTGTGCCTTCCTGGCACTGGCAGCCACCGGTTCCAGGCTGTGATATGCCTGCTGTAGAAGTGACCTGTCTGTTATGGATGTTTCCTGGTGACATTCCAGCCGCTGCCCTCCCCTGAGCAGGGTCCCTGTTGTTTCCTTGGCCCGGTGCCCTCTTCATCCCTCCCCCGGTATCTTTTGACCTGGTTTTTTAATTCCTAGTGTAGAATTGGCCTTCCAGGTTGCCCCTCCTCCCTATGTGCAAATCAAGATTTTTCTTTTTTTTCCTCCATTTTATTCTTAACCCTAAAACCTCACTGAGGGGCTGTGGCTGGCACAGTGATTCTGGTGAGGGGTGCTGTGGCGTGCATGGTGGCCACCCCGCTGTCCCTGTGGGTGGCCATCCTGCTGTCCCCATGGGAGCTGCTGGTGACGCAGGGCTGTGCCTGCTGCTGTTTGCTTTGGGGCCTGGCCCTGCCAGCGGGGTGTCAGCTTAAACTGAAACCTAAGCAGGCTCAGCCTGAGCTGTGCCAGGGCACGGGGTCAGCAGGAAAGAAGAGGGGGAAGAAACCTGGCTGGGGGCTGCCCTGGGGACCCAGGGCTCGTGCTGCTGCCTGCCCCAGGGTGTGTGGTGTGCCAGGGGCTCGGAGCCTGATGCAGGGATGCTCTTTGTGGTGCCTGTTGGGGTATCTCTGCCAAGCCAAGTGTCAACCCTCGGTGCTGCAGTCTGGGAACGACTGCCCTTCTCCAGGCACGCAGCTTGGTTTCCTGTTATAATGATATTTCCTAATTAAACCTCCCTAATTAAGGAGCAAAAGGTGCTGTTGTTTAAGCTGTGTTACAGCCTGGTTGTCAGGTCTGGCTGGGTATGTTCCCTTGTTAACCAGCCGGGTTTCCAAACGTGCTTTACGCCTCCGCTTCCTGACTCCGTGCCCTTCCCAGCTCCCGTCGGGCAACCAAGGTATGTGCAACCCAAGGATCCTCCTGGCAGGAAGGAACTGAAACCAAACAGAAGGCTGGGATTGGTTCCAAAAGGCGCTGATTTCTCTTTCTGATCATCAGCTGATGCTGATGGAAATATTCCTTTATTTTTCCTCCCTTGCAGTGAACACCTACCTCTTCATGATGCAAGCCCAGGGCATCATGATTCGTGAAAACATGAGAACTATAGGAGCTCAGGTGTACGAGCAGGTGGTCCGCAGTGCCTATGCCAAGAGGAACAGCAGCGTGAATGACTCAGGTATTTCTTGAACAACTGTGATTTTGATCAAAGGTTCTATTTCCATTGAAAAATTAAGTTGAAGGAATTAATTTATGCTGGTAAATGCAGGATGGGAACTTGGATTGATTGTCTGCCACTTTTATTTTATATATATAAATATATATATGTTACATAAAAAATACATACTATATATATGGATACTATGTATATATATGCTATCTATAAAAATTATGTTTATTTTTGTATATACAAAAAATTCAAATGCTTGTAACTTCTATAAGGGGTGAAAATCTGAAATTATGGGATTTGAGCTGAAAACCTTTTTGCTTTCCAGGAATTCAACTTGTAGCTTCAAGCAGTCTGAGGGTAAACACTTTCAAATTCAGTGCAAGGATCAGGTTTCATATTTAAAAAATTCCTTTCCAGGCGTGCGCCTGCGCAGAGCTCCGGCTCCGTGCACGTGGAAGAGCCTGTGCTCATAAGCTTCACTCTTCCCAGGCAAGGATGAACTGAGATGACTTGGCTGGAGATCTGCCACAAATAATATATTGAACTTTGGGCAGGATGCAGGGAGCGGAGGCACAGGCTCCCCCTCCCAGCCTGTTCATCATCCAGATACCTATAAACAGGGCTACAAGTTGTGGTGTAAATGTGGTACAGTGAAGCATAAATGCTCATGGCTGTGTGTAAGCCAGGGCGAGGCGTTGCTGCCGGGCTGGTGACACCTTCCCTGCTGGCCTGTCACCCCTGCCCCACGCTGGTGCTGTTGCCATCGGGCTGCGGTGGAGGGTGGGGGAGCTCAGCTCTGCTCCTCCCCTGTGAGGGTTCAGCAGCAGAGGCTGACAGAGTTTTACAAGGTGAGATTATTTCCTCATTAACAAAAATACTGGCCGTGTCCCTGCTGCCCAGCCTGCTGAGGAGCTCATGGTGCTGTTCAGCTGTGCCCTGACTGGGGACGGGCACGGGAGGGGAACTGTTGACTTACACAGGAGATGGACACCCCAGGTCACCTCCTCTCCCTGACGAGGTCAGCCAGGGCAGCCACCCTGGGCTATTTTTAAGAGTGGAAACATCAAGTAAAGCAGAGGCAGGGTGAGGGAGTAGCTGATCCCCTGAAGGGAGGAGGGTTAGGCACTCCAGCTCCGCTGCCTGCTGTGAGGGGAGCCTTCATCCCACTGCAGCCCTGGCCCATGGGGCTCTGAGTTCTCCAAAAAGCTGCTGTGTGCTCCTTCAGCAGGCAGAGAACTGATTACCTACCCTTTCAGTGCCAGTGATACCAGTGCTGCTGCTGCTTCTGAAATACCAGGTTTTGCTCAAACCTCATACCCATCTGTCCCAGCTGCACAGGCAGGTGTTGATGCCTCTCCTGCCCTGAGAGCTCCGGCCACGAGGATGGTTTCATATACAAGCACTGTGCACATCCTTAGTGACCTTCCCTGGCAGGCAGGTCAGGCAGACTCAGGATAGATGGCAGTGACACCTGGAAGTCACTTGGTGCTGTGGCCACAAGGATTACATTAACACTGGGATCAGAATCTTCCCTCCCTGAGTGTTTTTGGTGCCTCAGTGGGATCTGGATGGGTGGCACTGCCTGGTTAGTGCACTGTCCCCACGCTGCCACGGGCAGTGAGGCAGTGTGACAGCTGGGAGAGGAAACCTTCCCAGGTACAGCTGCAGGGAGGGACCCAGCAAAAGCCTCGACAGTACTAGCAGCTCCTGGTTGCTTTCTGCCCCATCCTACCCTTCAGGCAGCAGTGGGCAGGGTACCCTGCACATCCAGGGAGAGGGATGCTGCTGCTGGGATGAGCTGGCACAGTTCACAAACCAATTTGGGCAGTAGAAGACCCTGTGGCCCCTCTGATTGTCCCTGCTCCAGCCACACAGGAGCTCTGGGAAGGAGGTGGCTGCTGCTGCTTTCTGAATCACAGCCTCTCCACACATCACTCATACCCCAGTAAGGGGCTGCAGGCAGCAGTTCTTTGTGCAGTGCTGTCTTGTGTATGTCCTCCTGGGACCTGGGGCTTTGATTTCTGGGCAGGTTCCTTAAAAATGTGATATATACCTCCCCTGAATGGCAAGGTAACCAAGCACAGGGTGATTTGATGCAAGCGCAGTGTGCTTGTCCCCATCCATCTGCATTTACTCTCTGCCCGTAGTTGTTTTTTCCTCTTGTTTTGAGGAAGTAAGTTACAACTTTCCCAGCATTGCTAATAGATGCAATAATAGGTTTCCTGTTTGGTGAGACAAAGAGGGGTCACTTCTATGCTTCCACAAGCAAAAAAGGCAGCCCTTAGTGCAAAACAGGGGAGTTGAGCTCCACCATGGGCTGTCAGCTGGGCTGAGTACTGAGAGTGTGCTCTGGTGATGGGACTTAAAGGGGAAAATTGCTTATCGAAATTTACAGCAGTATCAAGAATCCAAAGTAACATCTATCATACTCAGAAAGCCCTTAGGTTGTGTTTACAGTCCATCTTGAGTCTCAAGATAGTTTGGATACTGCTTATTTGAGCAGATAAACAATATTACTGACATGATGGTAAGCACTAGCATGATAAAGCAAATGGAAATATCAGGCCAGCAATGACTTTTCCCAGGGGGACAAGAGGAAAACCTATTTAAAACATCTACAGGTGTAACAGTCTGGAGGGGCATTGCCCAGGAGGTCAAAGGATGTAGGCAATGAGGAGGCTGGAGAAAAACGCTGGGCACTGCTGTGACTGCTGGGGCAGTTACTCTTTGTGTAACGTGATAGTTTTTATTGATCCTTTGAGGAGGATTCCAGACAGGATTTCCCTGTGTAGGATACTGCACTGACAGTCCTAGTTGGCATTACACCCTGCCTGTGGACTTCCTCTCTCAGCTTTTTGGGAAAGGAGGACACTTGGTGGAGGAGCACATCCCCTCTCTTTTGTGCCGTGGTCGTTCAGGGACAGGGTACAAGGTAGCTTTTACTTCCAAAAGCCACATGCTCCTTTTCTTTGAACTGTTTGTGATACCTCAACGTGATGCTCAAAATTCTTCCTTTGGCCAGAAAATGCAAAAGGTTTCTTTGATGTGGTGCTGTCTGAGGCAGCCAGGCTTCTGCAGCCACTTGCCCCAGGAGGAGGATGAGCACCCAGCTGGGCTGCAAGGCTAGAGCACATGCCACTGGGGACACAGCTGTGCCATTGGGAACATCCTCAGCCACTGAGGCTGATTTCAGAGTCTGCTCACAGTGGCACAGGGAGGTGGATGGAAATAACAGACCTACAGCTCAAGTATAAACTTTTCTTTTTTTTTTTTTCCGTTCCCCAGATTATCCTCTTGATCTGAGCCACAACGACACCTTTCTGCAAGCCACAACGTTTCTTCCTGAAGACTTTACCTACTTCCCCAACAACACCTGTCCCGAGAGGCTCCCTTCTATGAGTGAGTAGCATCCTGACAGCCCTGTGCCCCTATCCTGCTCCCCCTGAAGTAGTGGCATTCCCAGTCTCACCGGTGTTGCACCTTTCCCTGCCAGGCACCTGGGGATGAATGGAAGTGCTGTTTAGAGCCCAGTTCCCTCCTGGGAAATCATTGTTTACCCACTCTCAGGAATTAATCCCTGCTGTGTTGGAGGCTCCTCTCCCTGCCGAAGCAGGAGCCCATTGCTTGGCAAACACGAACAAAAGAGGGATTGTGTGCTGGGAGCCGGTGAAAAGGCTCTGCCAGTCCTTTTCCAGGGCCAGTGGCGGCAGGGTGGCTCCCTTGTGCCTCAGCAGTGCTGCCAGGCCCAACCCTGAGCTGTGCTGGGTACAGCTGTGCCAGGGCTGGTGTGGGAGACAGGCTGGACCCCCACCTCAGGAAGCTGCAGCTGGGAGAAATGCTTCCACCAAAGCCATCCTGCAGTGGGAAATCAGGCTTTTGAGGGCAAATGTTTCCAAAGAGGGAGGGGAAATGCTCTGTGCTGAGATGTGTGATTCTGTCTGCTGGAAAACTGTATGGGTAGAGGGGTACCTGGGCTGGAGTGGGTCTCTGCTAGGGAGCTGCATAGCACAGGGGCTACAAAGGCTGAGCAGAGCCCAGCTGCCAAGGAGGTGGAGGTGTTACCATCAGCATCATTTCCTAATTGTTTTTGCTGATGCTGGGGAAGAGAAGAAGCTGCCTGCACTGAGTGCTGGGAATGGAGGGCAGGAATGCAGCAAAGTGCTGCACCGAGTCACCCCAGGACCTCAGCAGTTCCTCACCCCCCCTCTGCTTCTCCTGCTCCGCAGAGGGCCCCATTGATGTAAATATGAGCGAGATCACCATGGAGGACATCCACCAGTTCTTCTCTAAAGACCCTTCCATCAAGCTGGGAGGCCACTGGAAGCCGAGCGACTGCCTGCCTCGCTGGAAGGTACCTGGGAGCTGGGCAGCCCTGTGTCCCTGCTGAGTGTGGGGTGGACAGGGAGCCCCGGGCAGGCCTTGGGAAGATGTTAATGGGAACATCTCTGATGTGCTGCAGCCTCAGAGCAATGACCTGAGGAGCTCTGAAATGTGGGGCTGCAGTGCCCAGGGGAGAAATGGTGAACTTAAGGGCTGCTTTAGTGTCCCCACTCCTGCTGTGATGAGGAGACACTGCAGGTCTCCCTTTCACTCAAGGCAACATTGAATTTTTCCAAAGCAACAATCCCTCAAAAAGTGAATAGGAAATTCATGTTGTGGGAGTGGAAAGGGTTTTAGGCTGCTTAGCCCTACGTGGGAGAGCTGAGACACCTTGTTTAGTCCTCCTCCCCCTCCTATAACCCCACACCAGCCAGTTCTGCTCCCCAGCCCGGTGGTCTGCAGCGGGAGCCCCTGGTGCGGTGCAGTAAGAGCCATGTCCTCTCCTCATCAGGTGGCGATCCTGATCCCATTCCGCAATCGATACGAGCATCTTCCCGTCCTCTTCAGACACCTTATTCCCATGCTGCAGCGGCAACGTTTACAGTTCGCCTTTTACGTTGTGGAACAAGTGAGTGACCCTGGGGCGGTTGGGGCAACAGCTGCTGGGTACGGGCTGCACTAAGAACGTGTCTGCCAATGCTCCAAGCGTGGCTCTGCGCCGTGTCCCAAAGAGTTTCCCTGCCAGGGCACATCTTTTAACCTTTGGCACGTTTAGGGGTCGTGTTGCAATACGTAAGTTGTCCCGCTTCAGCCTGTAAGTGGCACAGCTAGGAGATGTGCCCAGAAATGTCTGGTTTTATCTGAAAAATGGAGATAATTTGGTTTGTTGTTGTTTTATTTTTTTTTAAATTCTGTTTTGTGGGAGTTATTTTTTTCTAAAACAGCTTTGGATCAGGTATTTGCAGTTTAGACAATGCTGCATTGTTTCTGTGTATCCCTGCAGTAGTTCCAGGGAGCATCCCCTAAGCATGGGAATGTCTAACCAGAGTTAGACATTTCTTATTTGGGCAGTATCTAGAAGACTTCAGTGAATGTAAAACATAACTGTCATTGGATGTGTACGTGAACCTGTCACTTAAGCTGTTTGGCTTCAGCCACCCAGTAAACACACCTCCATATTTAGCTCTAGCTTAAAAAGATTGATCAAAATTGGGGATTTTTTCAAGTGTCTGAGTAATAAGACTTCAGCTCCTGTACTGTGAAGTGACTATTTCAGTGTTGGTTGATCTCACTAGTCTGCTCCAACACATCACTTCCTCTTGTGGCACGGATGTGGGAGCTGGCTGCCTTCTGTGGTTTTCTAGGCAAAGCTGAGAATGCACAAACTGTGGGGACTCCCCTTGAAAAGGAACTTTTTCCCTCCTAGGCTGGAAACCAACCCTTTAACCGTGCCATGCTCTTCAACGTTGGCTTTCGGGAAGCAATGAAGGACTTGGACTGGGACTGCCTCATCTTTCACGATGTGGACCACATACCAGAGAACGACCGTAACTATTACGGGTGTGGACAGATGCCGAGGCACTTTGCAGCCAAGCTGGATAAGTACATGTACCTGTAAGCAATGTTCTTCCTCCCTGCTACTGTAACAGCTAAGGAGCCACTGTTAGATGTTATTTATCTTTTTTAAAGGCAGAGGATGAATCTGGGTTTGTTCCCAGGCTTTGTGCAAAGGGAGAGTGAGAGGGAATAGCAGAGAGTATCTGCCTGGCCCGGGCTCTCCCCTTGGCAGGCGGGAGAGCTGCGGTGCCGGTGGGCTCTGCACTAACCCCTTCCCTCCTGCTCAGGCTCCCATACAACGAGTTCTTCGGGGGGGTGAGTGGCCTGACTGTCGAACAGTTCCAGAAGATCAATGGATTTCCTAATGCCTTCTGGGGCTGGGGAGGAGAAGATGACGACCTCTGGAACAGGTACGGGCTGGGCGCAGCCGGCGTCCCTGGGCTCTGGTGGTGGCTCTGTGAGCTGAGCCTGGCACGTGCTGGGGGGGGGGACAATTGTCATCTTCAACACAGGTGCTGGGCTTGCTGTGCCCGTGTCCCCTGGGCTGGGGAAGAGCCCATCCTGGCCATGCTGGCTCTGTGGGAACAGGGGCCACTCCCTACACAGGCAGTGGGTGGGAAGTGGTTGGCTCTGTGCACATACCCCACACTGCTGAGCTCAGGCTGGTCATGGCTGAGCGGCAGTCCCGAGGTGCTGGGAACTGCGTGACCTGCCCAGAGCCCAGGCTGGAGTGGGGGGTTTGCCCAGCTTCTCTGGGGGTGGGAAGGCTGAGCTGCATCTGGAGCCCCAGGAGCACTGACAGTGCAGCCCTGGAGGTGCTGCCAGCACAGCAAAAAGAACCGGTGATTTTTGTTTGTTTGTTTATTTTATTTTATTTCTCCTCTTTGTAATGCAGAGTGCAGTATGCAGGCTACTCGGTGACTCGACCAGAAGGAGACACAGGGAAATACAAATCAATTCCCCACCACCATCGGGGAGAAGTGCAGTTCCTAGGAAGGCAAGTAAATTTTTTTAAGAATCCTAAAGCACTCCACAAAGAGTCTGTACCATGTAGGAGGCTCCCTGCAACTGTTTGAAGGCAGTAACAGCCTGAACTCCTGAAGGAAATGAATCGAGGGAGAGGAAGGCGTAGCATTGCCTGGATTCCTCCATCCCTGCATTTCATACCCTGCATCCCTGTGACAAGGAGTCCTTGCTTTGTGGCTTTGGTTGCCTGAATGCCATCCAAAAGGGAATTGTCAGCATGGCAGGCTGAGGGCCTGTCCTGTATCTGCAGGGGAATAGGGGTGGATAATGCCAGATGTAGAGAAGCTTCAGTGTTTCTCCAAGTACTGTTGGGACCATTTTGTCTTTTTTTTTTTTTTTTTCAAAAAGATAAATTGTCCCTGGAGCTCTTCAGGAGGGCTCCAACCCCTTTGTCCCAGAGCCAGGGTTGTTTTGGAGAGTACAAGGCTTGACTGACTGCTTTTGCCCGAAGACCACAATGGAATTTGAGTCTTCTGAAAACTGTGCAACAGAAAACCAGAGAAATACCTTCTTCACAAACAACTGCAGGTGTTTGTAACACCTGCTAACAAACACTTGTAGGTGAGGATCTGGTGGATGAGCAGTGTGACAGCTCTGTTCTGCAGAGGGGCTCCAGGCTGCTGCTGGCAGAGATTTCAGTTGTCTGCTGGTCTTTTTTTGCAGAAGACTCATTTTTAGGGGAGTTTCCATTTTAGAGTCATCTTTAGCCCTGCTTTTCATTTCTCTGGTGGACAGAATGCAGCCAGTCAGAGAAGCTTTTCTCATTTCACTCTTGAAAAAGAGAAGTTGCTTTTTAGCTTAAAAAGCCATATTTAGTCAAACCCTTGGAGTGTGGCAGGCTGGCAATGCAGTGGGATTGAGCTCTGGTTCCTGACACTTGCCTGGTCTCCTCCTGGCCCCAGCCACGAGCCCAGGTTCCATGCCAGCAGGAACTGTGAGTCCATGTGGTGGGAGGGGAAGATGGTCAAGGCAGAGTTCACCTGGTGAGCCAACAGCTGCACCCACTCTTACCCCTTATATCTCATCATGCTGGCCCTAAATGTGATTGAGGCTGTTTTTGTGCACCAGCTGCAGTTTCCTTCCCCAAACCATCATTCTGTTACTTTTACTTCCTCGTCCCCCATCCTTTGGACTAAAGCCATTTAGTTCTGCTCTTGTTTGTGTCTGGTTTCTTAAAAGTGGAAGGGACATATCACCCATCAGCTGCGTTTCTCTGGGATGGTGAGGGCTCTGCAGGATGCCTGAGCTCAGCTCTCTCCTGGGAATGGGAGCAGGCTTCAGGCAGGAGTCACAGGTAGTTTTGGTAGCTGAGTGCTTGCTGGTGGCACAGCAAGCATTTTGCCCTTCATCAAGTGATGAACTTTTCTGGAATTTTCCAACATTTACCAACAATGAGTATTTAAAATGTGATGGTTGCCTTTATTAAGGGCTCAGAAGTTTGTTGTTTCATAGCTGCTGCTGGGAAAGGCTGTTCTAGTAGCTTTGGGAGGAGTTGCAGGGCGCTGTGGGACTGGTGGAAGTGACTCTGGCCTCTGGTTCTCGTTGCACAGGTACGCCTTGCTGAGGAAGTCAAAAGAAAGGCAAGCCCTGGACGGCCTCAATAACTTGAACTACTTTCCAAACGTCACGTATGACGCCTTGTATAAGAACATCACTGTTAACCTGACACCGGAGCTGGCTCTGGTGCCCGAATATTAAGAGGAGAAAATAACTTTGCTCTGCCCTTCACCAAGAAAGCACCACACTAGACTTTCTTTTCCAAGGTTTATCGAGGACAAGCAACACTTTGTCTAATGAAGGATCACAGTATTTTGGAGAATGAGGCTGAAAGTGCACGCACAAATTGCCCTAGCTGTACCAATCCAGCCCGACACCCGGGCAGCGAGCTCAGCAGTCTCTTTAATTTTTTCTGCCACTTGCTTTCTGGGTTTTAGGACAACAGTTCGACCTGCTGCTCTCGTCTCCACATTCCTCCTCCAGCAATCTCTGGCACTGGGACTCGCCTCGGATGCGCTTTCTCCTCTGGGAAGCGGCTCAGCTGAGGGACTCTGGCTTCTTGACGGTGAACATTGGGAGCAGTTTGGTTGGCAACTGCCCTGGTGGGAGATCAAACGACTTCTGATGCCGTTCTGTGTCTGTGCGGTTTTTTAAATGACCTGCTTGAAGTATATACAACAGAATCGCTTCTTAAAGAAGTGTAAGTGTAAATATGCTGTGTAAATTGCCCCTTTTTATTTTTCTCCTACGGCTCAAGTCCAAGCTAGAGGTTTACATGCGGTCACTCATTTTAGTCCTGAGTTCTGTAAACACTTGCGTGTGCATCACTGTACTTGTGCAAGGTGTTCCCTTTTAAGCCAGCGAGACTGCTTGCGTGATTCCAGCTGTGCATATGCAGAAACGTTTGTGGGACAGGGCCCTGAACCTTCCAGTGCAGTGGGTTAGAAATACAGCCGGGACATTGCTCATTCCAGACACCACAAGGGTGGCTTTTTCCAGGGAAAGTGAGGAAATGGGAATATTTATGAAAAAACTCCCTTTTCTGTGACTTTTACAAGATGATCTGCAAATGAATCCAAAAGCCATATGGAATATAATCCCCTGCCTGTTGCTCTGTATCCCACGTGGCGAGTGTGAGCCTGGTTGCTCAGGACTCCCATCCATGGTGCTGGAGGAGTGTGGCCCCTGGGCTGGCTGCCCCTGCCCACGTGCTGTCCTGGGGATGGAGCAGCTGCACAAGCCCTCTCCAGACAGCAGCGTCCTGCCGTCACCCCCAGTGTGCCGGAATGGTGTGGGAGGTTGGTTTAGTCTGTATTCATTGTGTAAATCCAGCAGCACACTGAGGTGCTGTCAGAGCCAGGCAGTGCACAGGCACAGCTGGTGGGGCAGAGGGTCACAGGTCAGTGGGAGGGAGAGACATGAAGGACACACAAAAACATGAGGACTGGGAACCAGAGCTTGGTCTGACAACCCATCCAGCCACCCAATGCCATCCCCCCTTTCCCCACAGCTGCCGTGGGCAGGCTGGGCTCCAGGCCCTGTCCCCAGGGACACAGTCCAGCCCTTACACAGCACCAACACCGCCACTTTCACTGGACCTCTCTGACTTAAAAGTAAATACATTGGGCGTTGTTTTGAGTTTGTATTTCCACACAACAAGGGTGGGTACTTGACCTCCGAAGTACTTTAACTCTTTTCATTGCGTTGTTTGCCTTCGGTTTCCTTAACTTCTCATGGTTTACATTGTTTTCTCAGTTCCGTGGACGTATGATCCCCATACGCATCTGTGGTGGGTGTGACTGCCCAGGGCATTCCTAACCTGTATCCAGAAAACGTTAGTTTAGAAAACACGAGTTCTTGTGTAGATCTTATCGGCCGGCATGAGAGGACAGCGAGCCTGCCCTTGAAAAGCGCTGATGAGTTTGTAACTTAGGTTTTAAAGTCTTTGAACTTACATGTGCTTTAAACTTGCTTCCCGAGGGAATTCAGCCTGGTTATTTATAGGCAGAGGTGAGGATTTGCTTTTTCTGGCGCATACAGCAATAAAGACTTTTGCTTCGGGATCTCGATCTCTTAATTCACGTGGACCCTTTCCGGATGCTGAACCCACGTTGCCCTGCCCCTCTTTTCTTTCATCTTGAGACCTTGCTAGAAATCTGTCTTTGTTTAATGGTGCTTCAAACAAGGAATGTATTTCAACTAGTCCAAGTTCACTACCCCGGAATCATGCATGTGTGTGTGAGTAGGTGTTAAACTACCTTAGTCGGGATCCTCAGCCTTCCATGTCCCTGACACTCGTCGCACCTTGTGTGGAACAAAAGCCGTTACCTCTGCTCAGAACTGCACTCTGCGGTTGGCACAGAAGGGTCCACCCCCAGCAGCATCCTCTCCATCGTTCCTTCGTTCTAATCACGTTGTTTTTTTTGTTTTGTTTTGTTTTGTTTTTCCCTTTCTAAAATGTGGATTATCTGAAAATGTGCACTGTTAATCTTATCAGCTATGTCAAATACTGTATAGTAAATGTAACTGTTAAAAACATACTGTCAAGCGCATGTGCTGTTATGGTGTAAAAATTCTCGTATTAAGGAGAACTTGTACATATTCTGGCAGCTGAAGTTCAACAAGGCCACTCGTTCGCCCCTTCCACGTCAGTGCCGTCAGCCAGCCCTGCTGGAGGGCAGGTCCTGGGCGATGCTGATGCTGACCTTTTTTTTTTTTTTCTTTTTCTTTTTTTTAAATGAGCCATGTGGGTTTTATTTGCAAAACTATTTATTGACAGTTAATTCTCTGTAAAGCTCTGCTCCTCTAAGGGAGGTACCGTTTGAGCAACGGCTGCGCACTTCGGGCCACTCACCATCAGAAGTGGCTTCAAACTCTCAAGTAGCTTTCCATCATCATGGCTTTTGAGCTTACTGTTATGTTTTTAAGAGGTGCCGGGGGGACGTTTTTGCACTGAAGATTAGTGTTTTACAACACACACACTTCTCAGCAAAGCAATCCTTTGTGTCATTACATTTATTTACCCATGTGTTTGTACATTTTTGTATTTGTTAATTTATGAATGATTTTTTCAGTAAAAAATACATATCCAAGAACACAGATTGCAGTGGTTGCTTTTTTTTCCTTTTTCTTTTTTGTTTACAGGAGGTTGGGATGTGCTTTTTTAGTAGGAGGTGAGATCTGTAAGCCCAGAGGGGTGAGTGTTCATGAGAGTTTGAGGGGAGAAGGGTGAGCCCTGGATGCCAAAGCTGGTTAGGAATTTCTCATTAGAGGAGGATAGAAGCAAACTGAGAGTGTGATGGGGATGCCTCCCAACCTCCTGTTCTGTAGGTGCTTAAGCCTTTTTTCCAAGCATCTGCTTCAATGTAGTTCTGCTGGGGGGCTGGCTGCCTTGGGGGAGTGTGTTTAGGAAGAACTTGGTTGAAGGTGATGCTAGGCTCAGGAATGGTAGTGGGGACTGCTGGTAATTGGATTTTTGATCAACAAACGCAGGCAGACAGACAAGCTTCCTTGCAGCAGCTTTAAAATATCTTTCTCTTGCTCTGCAGCATACAGGCACGCTAGAATAAATAGCTGGCAGCCCTGGGTTGTTCCAAGCCTTGCCTTTTTTTAGCTCTCCGTCTTCTGGGAAGCTTCCTCCCACCCGCGGCGCTGGGCTGGAGCCTGCGGGGTGTCAGGCTCCTTCCAGACACTGCTGCCCGCCCGGAGGGGGCCTCGCTCCCCCAGCACTCACAGGATCGAGGGGGCAGCCCGTGGGACTCCTGGCCGTGCCCTGGTGGGAGTTCCTGACGTGTTCGGGGAATCCCCATGGCCGTGGTCCTCCATGGGTGTCCCAGCTGGGGAGGGGTCATTGCCTGTGTCACCCCCGCGGCAGCTGGGCAGGGGCTGGAGGAGATGGAAGCCCATGGAGAAAGTTGGGGGTGCCCCTATGCGGGAAGAAGGAGAAGGGCAGGGAAGCCCCCAGCCTGTGTTCCAGGTGGGTGTGTGGGACCCCCTTACTGGGGCCAGCGGCAAACGAGAGCTGGGAGCAAACCCCCTTTTGTGTGGGCTGTGCCGGGAGGATGCCAAGGAGAGGAGCCGTGCGAGGGACCAGCACAGCTCCGGCACGGCCACCGCTGCCCCCCAGCAGTGCAGAGCCCCGCGCTGCGGGGGAGAGCACTCCCTGCGCGGGCTGAGAACAGCTCAGCCTTCTCTGCTGCAAAATCCCCGAGTTTCTCTGCAGTGTGTAAAAATAACAAACCCACAACCGCCAGAGCAGGGGTTTTTTCCCTCTTCTTTCCCCCTTCACATCCGTGTGGCACCATCAGTCTGTCCTGTGTGGCCTGGGCTGGCGGCTGGAGCCACACACATGCTGTGGGGCATCCCTGCTGCCAGGATCAGCCCTGAGATGCTGCCCAGGAGGGATGCCCTGCTCAGGAGCTGGTGGAAAGGCTGAGTAGGTGGGTTGGGAGACAGTGCTGTGAGTTACCAGCCACACCAGAGCTTCTGGCCAACATTCCCTGGCTATTGGCTTGGCCTCTCTCCCCTGTGCAGAGGCAAAGGTGCTGCCCCCCCTACTAGGGGGGTCCTGCTGGCCCCCAGAGCCTGGGGTTGGCTGCTCCAAGACTGCTCCCCGTGGGAAGGACAACATGTCCCTGGATATTTATTCTTCCTTCTGGTGAGCAGTGTGACAATATTGACTGTTGTTCAAGAAGGGCTCTTGATAGTCAAGAGGAAAGGGGAGAAGTGAGCAGGAGCACCAGGGGCATGGAGGATTAACCATGGCTCTCAGGCAGCTGTCTTTAGTAAATCCTGGTGGGGAGGGCTTCCCAAAAACTCCTTTCCTCTGAAGGACTCTCACAGATACACAGCCAAGGGCTCTTCTGCCACAGTTGGTAGCAATAGCAGCAAAGGGGGGGAAACCAGTAACACATCAAGTATCAGCTGGGTGAAGCAAAGCAAACACTCCCCTGTGGGCAGCGGAAACTCAGCTGATCCCTTTCCCCACTGACAAGGCAGTGCCGGGCGGGGATACAGAATGAGTCGGTGGGTGGGCGGGCCAAACCGGCGGGGCTGGTCAAGCCGGGGAGAACCATGGGATTCTTGGACACACGGTTGAGAAATCTTCTCCATCAGCGCAGCCTCGAGCCACAGGGATAGCAGCAGGGAGTGGGGCCGTCTGAAGGCCACGGATGCGGTGCCACGGTGAGGACTCTCTTGCACAATCGCCCACATCGCTGGGGGCACCTGTGCGGCAGGTTCCCAGTGGCCATAAAACCGCGGGTCACCTTGCGATAGGTGCCTCGCTCCGGGGCCAACGTGAGCCGCGGCAGCGCCCCGCGACCCGCCCGGCACCAGGCTGACCCTCCCTGCCCTGCTCTGCCCCGGGAGGTGCCGGGGGGGCAGTGCCTCCATGAGAGCAGCAGTAAAAGCGGTGGCCTCAAAGCGGTCCGTGCGGCCACATCTCGGCCCTGCTACATTTGTATTTGCCTCGGGACAGGCTTGGGTCCCGGGATGGGCGTGATGCAGCCAACCTCGTGCTGCTCAGGAATCCCTCCCGGGCATCCACGCTCCTGCCTCCCCACCCTCATCCCAGCACTGCTCCCCTCCGACTGTATTTCAGCAACAAATCGCATTGCTGGGGCGATGACCCGGGATCCACCCCGGGTACAAGAGTGCCGGGGGCTGTGTCATCAGTGGCTGCCTCCTGCACATGGCTGAGAGCTGATCCCTGAGCCTGAGCACAGCCCTGCCTTTGACAAAGCAGATTCATTCATAATTCAGAGCCGCTTCTGCAGCTGGAAACCTTTCACAGGTGACCGAGCTGAAAGGCTTGGAGACACCCGGCCTGGCTTCCAGTCCCAGGGCACAGCGGGGAGGAACACGCCGTCCTTAACAGAGCTCATTCCTCGTGGGGTTTGGAGCCTGACGCTGTCCCCTCGCCCCGGGAGAGGTGCTGGTGGGGTTGGGGGAGAGCCCCAGCCCGAGTGCGGGGACGGGGGATGCTCCTGCGGGGCCCTGCGGTGGCGGAGCGCGGTCCCAAAGCCCCACCTGGTGGCGGAGGGAGCGATCCCGGCCCCGGGGACACCCCAGACCCGCCTCCCCCTCCCCGGTCATCCCCGCGTGTTTCCCCACGGACATTGGAGGGACAGCCGGCTGCGCAGGGTCCCTGTCCCTGCGGAACAGGGATTTCTCCTTGCTTGGGGAAGAAGTGGGACTAGTTCTTGCAAGAGGGGGAGAAATCCCAGATTTTCAGAGATACCAAGTGCAGAGTGACAGAGAAGTCTCCAAGTGCCCGGGGGAGCAGCCGGCAGGGAAACAGCTGGTGGCTTTTGCTTCCTGATGAAGGCTGGCCTTGAAGGTGCTCTCAGACATCTTTGTGACACGCTCCCAATTTCTTGGGGTGAGTTATCCCGGCTTTTGCAGCTGTCACTTTCTACCAAGAAGAACCCATTGTAACTGTCTTTCAGCTGTTTCATTGCTTTCTCCTGCCCAGTGCCTGGTGAAGACCCCCCTTCTCACTGCCCCTCCACAGAGCTGGTCTGGGCCTGCTGGGGATTCTCTTGTCCCATGACCAAAACCAGAGAAAGTTCTGAGCTGAAGAGAAACATTTGTCCTCAAACTGAGAAATTATGTTTCATAGTTGTGCTATTTTACCCTTCTGTTTAATCCTTTTCTCTATTAATATTTATCAACACAACATTTTTCTTCTTTTAAACAATGTCAAAGCTTTGTTTAAAAAAAAAAAAAAAGGGATAATTTTTTTTAAAGCTTGGACAGACTGCCAGGTGTTGGACTGCACAGGAGGAGGTTGGGATGTAAGCTGGGACAATCCAGGAAGGCATTTGGAAAAGAAGACAGGTGTTTCTGCACATCCCACGAGTCTATCTTTAGAGGTTTTTTCCCCTGTGGGAAGTTCGCAGGGAACAACGTGTCTTTTGGAAAACTAAGGTGTCTTGAAGGCTTTAACTCACTCATCCCTGCTCCCAAACCTTGTACAAGCCAGTGGCAGCAGCTGATCCCCTGGAAGCATCTTCTGTCCCTGTGTTCCACTAGGTGCAGTTCAGGATGTGGTGGACTTTTAAACCTGATGCTGGAGTCCTTCAGAGTTTGCTCTCCTCTTGAGACACTGCAGTCCATGTTTTTCTTTCATATCGTGAACACTGCAAAGTCTGCCCGTGGTTTATGCTGGCGGGTTCCCACTGCCCTCGTGTATCTGCCATGTGTGAGCTGGATGATGGGAATCAGTTCTTTGGGGTTTTCATGTTCTTATTTGGTAAACTTGGGTTCATGTTTTGGGAAACTCATCCCAGTGCTCCCGCATGATCTGTGGGTATAAATCTACTCTGAGTTAATGCTCAGTGCCAACATTTTTCAAAGCAGATATTGAATGAGAGAGGGTTTTAGTTAATATAAACCAGAGTCAATTTACAATGACAATGTACTGCTAGATGTGTCAGGGAAGAGACAAGCTGCTGAAATGTTTGGCTAAAGTCAACTTAGGAACTGGAATGTTGTTCTTTGTTCAGTGGTGTCCCAAAGCCCTGCTTAGGCAGGGGCTGCCTCTGCCAGCTCCTGGTGGTGTTTTGGGAGGAGGATGGAGACCGACACTTCCAAACAGCCTTTGGCAGTGAGTGGCAGATAGGGCCCTTCTGAAACTCAGCTGCTGTTTTGTTGCTGGGGTTTTTGTTGTTTGGGATTTTTTATTTATTTAAGATATCTTGAGAATGGATATTCTGCTTGAGATGCATCTGAAAGTGCAGAGCCCTGCGTGTGGTGCTGTACCAGCCCCTTCCCACGCATTCCTGATGCAAACACTGACAGCTGCAGCTCAGATGGGCCGTGAGGACTAATCACAATTTTCCTGATTGTTTTCCAGTGGCCCAAGGACAGTGGTTTCTCCTGCTGGGACTTGATGATTCTTATGGACCCTGAAGGGGAACTCAGCGCTCGGATATCACTGGTTTGGGGATTAGTGTGGTCTAACACACACAGATATTTTAAACATTCTCAGCTTTTCTAAGGAGGAGCAGTGTGTGGGTGAACTGGGAAGCTTCCCTCATTCCCGGTGGGAATTTGCCTTTTCTTTCCTTCTCCCTCCCTGCCCCGAGCTGGCTCTC